GATGGCCATTCTTACTATAATCTAGTAGATTATAGCAAGATTGACAAATTGGTCCAATTGGATAAACATTCGCAAAAGATTGAATGCCAAGAACCTTGAAAATTTTAGGCACAAGGTATAATTTTACAGCAAAATTGTGTACATCAAAGTCAAAGGAGAACTTCATGCTACACGTAAACTGATATCCTAGAAACATCCCAGACATCAAGTGATGATAGATGTGATTTCTTAAAAAAAAGTGTTAAATCTCGGAGTACATCTCTACAAAAAGTATATTTGATCTTCCAAAAGAATGCCTGCAAAGAGCTGAAATTATAAGGAAACAATGTCAGGCATTCAGCTGTAAAACGTATATTACTGCAGCTTGTAAAACATCAGGTGATTTACTGATGTGATTATGCAACAGACAGTATCCCGAGAAACCACATCAAACACTCTTCTAGTAAAGAACAATAAGATTCATGAACACTATATGCTTATACAGGACAGCTTGTAAAACATTAAATGTAACATTATCCTAAATCTCTGGTCCATTGGACACCTGTATAAAACAAAAGAGTTAAATGCAACAATGGTCCATCAACTTGTACCGAAGTTTCACTTAGATCCATCAACTCTGAAAGTGGGTTTTTGGGTCCATCATCTTTGTCAGTGGCGCATTCCTGGCCCATACCGCTTTATTCTAGTTTTTTAACCGACGTGGCTGTCCATGTGGCGTCCAGGTTGGATCAATAAGCATCTGCTCGTCACGTGAGGGTGGAGGGCATTGGGTAAAATTATAGGCAGCCCCTCTAGACTTTTCCGCTTCCAGTTCTTTCCCCACTCGTCTTGTCGTCAAGGAGGTGCAACTCGAAGGGGTAGGAGAGACCGCGGGCGTGGCGAGCGGTGGCCGTCGGCGAGCGGCGCCGATTCGCCACTGAGTTCGGATCCGATCCGCCTCCCGCTTGCGCCTTCCTACGCTGATCTCGCAGAATCCAGAAGATGGTGGCTACGTTGCGTAGAAAAGGGGATGCACCGCCCCAATACGGTAAGTACTGTATCGATGCCCAAATCCTTGGATTCAGTGGTTGTAGATTGTTGTTCTCTGGCTGTGCTTGAGCTTAGATACGAAAAATCATGATTTTGTTGTTGTTAGGGTTTGTGATTTTTTTGAGGTGACGGGTTGGGGTTTTGTAGTGGGTTTTTCTGATGTGTTAGTACGTTCATAATATAGGTGATGATGATGAAGAATTCACGGTTGAGGTTCACCATGGTGGGTACTTTGTTGGTCAAGGTTCTGATAAAGCTTATGCTCATGAAAGGGTCAATTGGTTCGATCACTGTGAAGTAGCTACATGGTCTCCCCGGTGGTTTGATGAGTTAGCCTTTAAGTTGCATTACCCAAGGAATCCAGTAATGAAGGTCTATTGGTTGCTACCAGGACTGACTTTTGAACAAGGACTTAGAGAAATTAGTTCAGATACAGACACAATTGTGATGGCTTCACTAGTGCACAGGGTTAAGAATTTTGTTCTGTATCTAGACCATGATGACACTATCAGTGGGCTAGATTGGGATGACCTAGTTGTAAACCCAATTGCATCCTTGCCCAAGCACAGCCCCAATGACTGCATGTATCCCATCGCACTTGGAATTGTTGAGGTTGAATCACTTTCATCTTGGACATGGTTTCTAGAGACATTGAAGACAGATCTTGGTATTGCGAACACCTTTCCCTAGACCATAATGACAGACAAACAAAAGGTGATGACGACACTAGTTGCATCTATTTATTTCAAGTGCCACAATCAATTGCACTGCAATTCTAACCATCTTATTGCTATGCAGGGCCTCATTCCAGCAGTGCAAAAGGTGTTTCCAGAATCAGAGCATAGATTCTGTGTGAGGCACTTATACTCAAATTTCCAACAACACTTCAAAGGTGAGAATCTAAAAAACCAACTCTGGTCTTGTGCTAGATCTAGTTCAGTTCCTCAGTGGAACAGAAACATAGATAAGATGAGGACACTAGATAAAAAAAAGGCTTATGAATGGCTAGAGAAGATGCCACCACAAACTTGGACTAGAGCATTTTTTAGTACCTTTCCAAAGTGTGATGTTCTTCTGAACAACATGTGTGAGGTTTTTAACAAATACATTCTGGAGGCAAGGGAAATGCCCATCCTAAGCATGCTTGAGCAGATCAAGGGTCAGCTGATGACAAGGCACTACACAAAGTAGAAGGAGGTGGGAGAAAAGTGGCTAGGACACACCTGTCCCAAGATTAGGAAGAAACTGAACAAGAACACGGAGTGGGCATCCACATGCTATGCTATGCCTTCTGGAGAAGGTATTTTCTAGGTTCAGGACAGAGACTACCAATTTATTGTGGATATCAAGAAGAAAAAGTGTGAATGCAGAAGATAGGACCTAACTGGAATTCCATGTGCACATGCCATTTCTTGTCTGAGGCATTAAAGAGTTGCACCTGAATCTGTGCTACCAGAATGCTACTCCACTACTTCCTACCTACTTGCTTATGGACAACATATAAGACCATGCAGGGACAAAAATACATGGGACAAGGTGGCAGCAACAGAAATACTTCCTCCTATTTATGACAAGAAGGTGGGCAGGCCTCCCAAGTCCAGAAAGAAGCAGCCACATGAGTTTCAAGGCCCCCAAGGTCCAAGATTGTCAAAACATGGTGTCACCATGCACTGCAGATATTGTGGAGATGCAGGCCATAATAAAAAGGGATGTACCTTGAGAAAGGTTGGTGTCCTGCCACCAAGGCAGACAAGCAATGCCCAACCAGAAGAACAAGCCCATCCAGGAGGACGCCAACCAGAAGAGATGGATGATGATGGGCCAATACAGAGCCAGGTCTACTAAAATTTTTTGCCATGCTCTATGTGAAGTGTTTTTTATGTACTGACATTTTTGTGCACACTATTGTATAGGTGGTTATGTGGTCAGACTCCACTATTCCTTTGATGAGCCAACTCAGTGCCACCATGGTATCACATATGGAACAAGTGGTCAGTCAACTACTAGCCCATCTTAGCCTTTCAATAGCTATATTTCTAACTGAAATATTTTATGTTGCAGTCAACCCAGAGCAGGATACAAGTGAACCAACCTCTCCCTGACTCAGCTTTCATTAGCTCTAACATTCTAGCAGCAAGACCTGTGCCTCTAACTACAATTTCCAAATCTGGGAGAAAAAGGATTGCAACCATGAAGGCACAAGAACTACACCTGCAGAAGAAGAAGGCTACTGGTGGGAGGAAGAAGGCTCCAACTGAAGCTGAAAACTAAATTCATGCATGTGTGATATGTAATCCTTTTGTAAAGCAGCAAAACACTATCCGTTGCTTCCTTCTTTTGTGCAGCAGTAACTTAACTGCTAGCAGCTTTTGTATATCAGCCACTACACTGCTAACTTTTGTTCAGCAGCTTACCTGATAGCTTTTGGATAGCAGCAACTCTAAGTGCTACCTAGATAGAATGGTTGGGGACAGCAGTAATGTGCATTGTCAGACTAATTTGCAGCAGTAATGTGCATTGTCAGACTAATTTGCTTGCTGGTTATGGTAGTATGCTGAAACATATGGTTTCATTCACAAATGATTTCAGTTACAATGACCTTGCTTTAGTTACAAACAACATTCATTCAGTTCTTTACAAGAATGGCACACAAAAGCAACAAAAGCACAAACAAGATATATAATAGGAGAAGGCAAGCAACTTTGCATGCCAACCAACACTTTGCACAAGCCAACCAAAGGTTTATCTCACAAAGCACCAAATATTGAGTCCTTAATATTTGAGTCACCACCAAAGGTCAAGCATTGCTGCTTTATTTATGTTGGAATCACACCAAACTCCTAACATTGACTGAATCATCAACCAACTTGCCTTCTTCTCGGTGCTCCAGATATGCAACGTGATTTCCTTCCAAAAAAAAGGGCACTGATTCCATTGGGCTCTCAGGAAACCAGATCCATCACCAATGAGAGATGGTAATCCAAAATCAGTGCTTCCAACAGCAAAAATGAAGGAAATCACAAGGAACACAATCTACAATACCTTGTGGGTTGGACAACAAACACCTCTCCGTTGCTCCATGGTTTCGCTGAAACCCGACCCGACGTATACTTACCTCCAATTGCAATCGGTGCAAATAATCGCAATACCATCATGTCGTGATTTATTTGAAGTCTGATGCGATTCCAACCTCCATACTAAATGGATGAAATGGTGAATGGCCCAAGAAAAGCACACAAAGAAAACACTCGATTTGGTCAGCCGGTGGAAGTGAGGAAGAGAGGTAGGAGGATGGGTTGCCATTTAATAACTCAGGTAAGGACTTAAATGCATTCTTCCACCAACCGGTATGGGCCAGGAATGCGCCACTGACAAAGATGATAAACCCAAAAACCCACTTTCAGAGTTGATGGACCTAAGTAAAACTTCGGTACAAGTTGATGGACCACTGTTGCATTTAACTCAAAACAAAATAACTACAGCCACCAATATTTTGAACAGAAAATGGTGAGTTCAATGGGTGCAGCTCGAATAACACATGAATACATGATAGAACTTACAAAGAACTGCCAATACAAATTCACCTTTTATTAAGAAACTTTATGCAGGGAAGCCATTTGCAGATCCCATGAACATGGTCTGATCAAATTATTAAGTAACTTTATGCAGGGAAGCAACTTGCAAAAGAACACTTCTTTCACTGGTCTAGTGTGATATCCCTAAGTTAAAGTACAAGGTCCTAAAACTAGTCTTCGTGCATTCTAAGAAAATGTAGCAGGAACTACAGTTGGTTATCACAGTTTCTCAGACTACAGAAGATATACGAAGCATGAAAGCTCTCAAATTCCAAATCTCATGTACAATATAGGAGCTGAAACAATAGCAAGGTTTGAAGATTACCTGTGTCAGCTGCATAATAGGATCAAGGCAGAGAGCAGACCACCAGTTGAATATGAAATAGATATAGTTACTTATACAAAAGAAATGATCTTCTGATCATTTGCTCGCAACAATAAATTGTTGTATAACCTCATAGTGTACCAAGTGGGATAGAAACCATTTCGATACATTGCATCCATCCACCTCTCAGCTTCATTTCTGTCACCATTCTTGCAGAAACCATGCACAATTATATCAAAAGTCCATCGATTTGGATGATACCCCTGCCTGCATATCCTTTCATACAAATTACAGGCAGAGTCCATCCTTCCTGCCATAGACAACCCTCGTAACAGCATGTTATAAGTGTAAATATCAACAGGAAAATACTTTTCCATCTCCTCTCCCAAATGCTCTAAGTCACTCATGTTTCTAATACCACTTGCAAACAAGGAAACTAGATCACCAATCAAGTGCCTTCCTGCCTCCCGACCTTGGATCTCTTCACCCTTCACTTCTAGAGGCTTTGATTTATCTCTTGAACGTAAGAAAGCCTTCAGAAGGTTGTTGCCCATCAATGTGTGCAAGAGAAGCACGTTACACAAGAAAGCTGAAACAGGGCGACCTGTTTCTTTGAAATCATCAATAACCTTTACAGCAGTGCCATAATCTCTGACAGAGCACAGCAAGAGAACAAGATGCTCATAGCAGTTGATGCTTGGGACTACACCATTACCCCTTGCTTCCCTCCAGAACACCATTTCTGCTCAGGCTTCTTAGCTTCACATAGACCAGATATAAATACATTATATAACCTGGTGCAAGGTGTTTTCTTCTCACAAATGAGGTTAAAAAAACTAAGTGCATCCCCGATACGTTTGCTCCTTAGATAACTCATGAGAAGAAGGATGTTGCTTGCCATTGATGGTTCAATCCCTGAAACCTCCATTCGGTCATATACTGCCTTGGCCATGTCTGCCCTCTTGGCATGACCAGCACCAGAAATAAAGTAGTTGTAGCACACACGGGGTTGGAGCTCACTCCGCTTCAACTGGCTGTCTAACAGATCAAGAACCTCGGTATACCTATTCAACTCACACAAAGCACATACAACTGACTGGTAGAGGTTTCGGGTTGGGATGTGCCCCATATCTTGCATTTGCAGTATGAGCCTTGGCAGCACATCCACCCTCTTAATCAATATTAATGCTCGAATCAAGCTCTTGTACGTTGACTCATAGCGATATAAGCCCACATGGCTCTTGCTGCTTGCTATCTGAGGCAATTCGCATGCCGCCTCCACGTTCCCACTCTTGCATAGTGCCGCGAGGTACTTGGCCAAGACAGAGCCGATTGTCCAGACTTCCTGCTTGAGTGCCCTGTCTAGCAGCTCCCGCACCCTATCCAGCTTCCCCTCCTGACACAGCACATTTGCAAGCATGGAAAATGTCTGACGCCCTGGAAAGTACCCTCCTGCCATAGCTTCCTCCAGTAACAGGCATGCTTCCTCTGTCTCCCCACCATGGCACAGTGCCCTGATCAGATTATTGTAGACATCCTTGTTTGGGTCGATCCCAAGTTCTATCCTCGACCTATACAAATGCATGGCTACTTCGACAAGACCAGCCTTGCAAAAGAAGCAAAGCGCAGCATTCATGGTGGATATGCCAGGATCAATGCCCTCCTCCATCATTTGAACAAGTAAGTCATACACTTCGCCAAGTCTGTTCCTGACAAGCAAGCGATAAACAAGCTGGTCACACCGCTTCCCATCAAGGATGTAGCCTTCACTTTCCTTCTTATCAGACAGGAACTTCATCGTAGCATCAAGCTTTCCAGCCTCACCGAGTCCATGGATCCACGCACCATACACATTACCGGATGGAAAGTTATCAACGAGCTGGGCTGCCTCAGCAAAACGTCCACGGCGGCAGAACTCAGTGAAGATGGAGCCAGCCGCAGGGCCACGGGATGCATCAGCAAACGGCATGGTGTCAAGGAGAGCGACGGCATCGTCGAGGCGGGCGCGACGACAGTGGCTCTTGATGAGTACGCATGTAGCAAAGGGGCTGGGGGCAAGGTTGCGGGCGAAGGACTCGGCAAGGTCGTGGAGCGACGCATCGACCAGGGAGTTGAGGAGGATGCGTGATGAGACGGCGTCGAGGTCGAGGCCGCGGAAGCGCATGCGCCCGAGGACGTTGAGCCCGCGCTGCGGGTCGCCCGCGACAGCGTAGCCGACGACGAGCGTGTCGTGGAAGCGCAGGTGGCCGCCGGTGGCTGGTGTGTCGGAGAAGAGGCGGAGCCAGTCGAGGAGGAGGACGGCGTTGCGGTGCGCGCAGGCGAGGAGGCCGAAGACGGCGTGGTAGACGACCCGCGTGTGGCGGTAGCGCGGGCGGCGGCCCGACCAGTCGAAGAACCTGAGGCGGAGCAGCAGCAGGGCGTCGGCGTCGCGGAACCCCGCGGGCGGTGGCGGAGCACGGCGAGGACGAGCTTCTCCGAGAGCGGGAGCGCCTCGAGCGCGGCCGTGTCATCGGACGCAAGAGCTGCGTAGATCGCGTCGAGCGCCCTGGGCGGCGCCGGCGCGGACGCGCACGCGGGGCTGCGGGACTCGAGGAACCAGTCGTGGAAGGAGGCGGCGATGGCGGACTTGGCCGCGGCCACGAGGCGGGCGTCCTCGGGGCGCGGCGGAAGCAGCGGAGAGAGTGGTGGTAGCAGCGGCGGCCTGGCTCCGGCCGTTTCCCTTTCTTTGTTTTTCCTCTTTTACTTATTTCACATATTTATATTACCTGTTTCAATGCAGGTAGCTGTGTATCACCAGTACATAAGATTTAGACAAAAAGCCAAACCCAAATACGAACGCACATCCAGTCACCCACAACCAAACAACCCCACAGAAAAAAAAAAGGCTTGACCAAGGACCACTCGAAAAAACTAGAGAACTATGAAGTTGGTGATCAAGTGAGAAGGGTCTCGAGCTTGGAAGCACCAAATAAAGAAGGGGAGGGGTGCTTCTTCAAGCCCCTTATGAGGACAACGACTTCGGGGCATCGATCTCATTGTCGATGGTCGCGGAGAGGAAATCAGGTCATGGATCTGTATCCTATGCCGTACCCGACGATGCAACTGTCGATATTCTTTCAACGATTTGGATGCGTTTTGGACTGGTTGCGAAACGTTGGTTCGTGCGGCATGTCCAAAATTTTAGGGTTGGTCGTTGGATTCAGCATGAAAACTACACTTTGGCTCCGACGTTTATGGGAAGCCATTGAGGAAGAAGATGATGGAAGAATATGGATATATATTATTATGTGTTTTTATTTTAGATTTTTTCATATGTAATTTGGAGATGTGCTATGTTAAAATTTAATATAAGTCCCATTTCCTTAAAAAAATTGATTTGTGAGCCGGCTTGAATAAAAAAAGGCCCACACTTCTTTATTATCCACTGAGGCATGCACAGAATCTCTCACAAGCACAATCGCGTCTCCTTCACAATCTTTACGAAGGTCACAAAGATTTCACAATCTCCAAGCTATCTAGAAGTCGACCTCAAAGAGTAACGAAGGTAGCTCCAACAATCAACTTTTGAGCTACTCTAAGCATTTTTTTTTCATATTTCAATAGAAGAGGGAGAAAAGCTAGTTCTTTATTAAGAGTTAGGCTCTTACACATATTCCAAGATCATGTGAGAGTGTTACGTGGGCGTAATATACTAAGGCCATGTTTAGTTCCCCCTAAAGTTTATTCCTTATCCCATCGAATGTTTAGACACATGCATGGAGTATTAAATATAGACTAAAAAATAACTAATTGCACAGTTTGCGACTAATTTGTGAGATGAATCTTTTAAGCCTAATTAGTCCATGATTTGACAATGTTGTGCTACAGTGACACATGTGCTAATGACGGATTAATTAGGCTTAATAAATTTGTCTTACGGATTACTGACGGATTCTGTAATTTATTTTTTTATTAGTATCCGAACACCCCATGCGACACCTCCATGTGATACCCGATGTGACACCTTAAAACTTTACACCCTGGATTTAAACAAGGCCTAAGAGTCATTGCTAAAAGTTAACACTGTTGTAGATATTGACTTAGAGTGAGTAACTAGCTCTTAGTCTTGCAGGTTGATGATCTCACCCTGCTCCAAGCCCACAATGCTTAGTCCATCCAAGAACATGCACTAGACGCTCTCGACCTTTACATGACATACTTTGTGTAGAAGAAGGGAAACCAACGCTTATGGACAACTACAAGATATTTTTTGCCCTCTGCTAACATGCTAATGCGATATCTCAATGGTGTCAGCCGCTGAGGCCTTTTCTAGAATGGGCCCTCGGAGGCCCACCGGACCCTTTATTAATGACTTTGTACGCACGAGCGCGTACATGACGAGTGTAGCCCTGAGCCCCTAGCTGATTCGGGGAATCGGTCAGGGTTAATTAGATTATGGTGCAAATCCACGGGTTTAACCTACCCTTATTTTTGACAATCAACATGTTGGTTATCCCTCTGAATAATCTTTTCATAGAGTCCAAGAACATTGAAATTGGAGTTTGGAGTAAGAAGTTATTGTGTTTTTCATGTAGTGACCTGTGTTGTTGTGTCCAACCGTGAAAGTTTTACACATTCCAAGTCCAATGGCTAGTTTTGGAAAGGTCTAGAAGTTCCTTAAACTTCTGGGAAGTTCCACACATTTTCTGCTGCAACGGCTATTTGGTGATGTAGGGGTATTTATACCCCCCTCCGCTTTCATTCGGAGGGTTAGTTGTTGATTCTCTACCACGCCCTTATTGAAGCCCAAACCTATTAGAGATGTCCTCAACCCCCTAAATGGCTAGGCATTATCCAACGAGTTCCTGTGCTTGTGGTGAGCCATGAGAAAGTTTTGAAGATCACGACTTCGCCTTCGCAAGGGAAGAAGTCTAATAGTGAAGTGAGAAAAGCGGTCGAAAGAAATCTAGCTAGAGCTTGACCTTGGGTGGTCGGTCGCTCACGGCCTACTCAGCAGATACATAGGCCCTTCCCTGGAAGGAGTCGAATTTCAAAAAATAACTCCTTGTGTCTTTAGTTTGGTTTGTTATTTTTTAGTTCTTGCCTTAATGTTATTTGCATTCGATCTAGTTGGTTGTGTGTGTTTGTTAGTGCAGGTACTTTGTGGACTTGCTAGTGTCTATCTTTAGACACATATATCCAAGTTTATGTGAATGTTATGTAGAATTATGTCAAAGTTTCACACCTAGAGCTAACCCGCTACAAAGTTTGGTGTTAAAAGTTTTGAAAACCTCGTTCACTCCTTTTAGACGACATCCCGATCCTTTCACTTGCAATATTTTTTGTCTTGTTTAGAATACAGTTTTATTCAACTAAACTCGTATGATGTAAACCAAACAACATCCAGCTACAGCAGCTCAGCTCGAAGTGCATGGCTTGGAAGAGGAGATCAACTTGAATTTTATCTGTAGAGCTTGAGGAAGAAGAAGATGGCAACTTTCGGAAAGGTTTCCATTCCCCAACTCAGGTGAGGTCATGGTCGAAGAAGAGGTGAGGCATCGCTAGGGCTAGATAACGAGCTAGCTCCTCTCGATTCGTTCTAGCTCATTTAGATAAGAAGCTAGCTCAGCTCAGCTCGGCACAGCTTGTTACGAGCTCAAGCTAGCTCGTTTAGCTCGTAATCCAAACCATAAAAATCCCACAAGTCATAATTTGTACATTTATCCAAAACTTGGAAATACTAATAATGCAAAAAAAAACTCATCCATAAACATCAAATAACTTTGGCTCTTTAGGCTCACGAGCTAGCTCACGAATTGGCTCATTAACTACACAAGCTGAAATGCTAGCTCAGCTTGTTGAAAAAAAATAAATGAGCCGAGTCGAGCCGAGCCACTAACGAGTTAGAAACAAACAATGCATTATGCTACAGATGGTCACAAACATATACAATGAATGTGGCTACGGCCTACGAGCTAGTTTTTTAAAGCTTAATTATGTTTCAACAAAAGACTCCCTGTGATGGTGTAAAACCAAATTCTTCTATAAGGTGTGTGGTTGCTGGCACAAATAGAAAATCAATTAAAAAAATCTCCTTTTGTGAGTATTCAGTATTCTCAATGTATCTTTCCCTAAGAGTGAATGTAAAATGAGTATGGTCACTTGCTTAAATGTTTAGACACGCGTGCATGCCTACCATGGCAACCAAATGTTTGCAACTTTGTGGTAGCCCACATAAAACGGAAAACCAAGGAGCTCTAGGAATTGCATGTGTCTATATATAGATATACATGCAATTAGAACCAAGAGGTAGGGAGGCAAACGACTCTCATGACCACACATTTGCATCTCCTTTTTGCGATGTCCCATATATACAACCAACAATCATGTTAGTTCTATAAGCAAAGCTGTCATCTCCTCCATCATCACCACCAAGCTCAACAACAACAACATCCATATCGCCCAAAAAATGAAGACAATGGCGGTCGCGTTCTTCGTATTATCCCTCACACTAGTGGTCATACCGCTCATAGCAGAGGCAGAAGAGAGCGATGATGCAAAGAAGGCAGCAGAAGACTTCTGCGCCACTCATTGTGCAGACAAGAAGGAGCCGGCTATCAACAGCAACTGCAAGGAGTCATGCGCCCTCTCCCAGCGCGTCGACTTGGTGTTCTTCGAGAGTGTCACATGCTTGGGCAAATGCACCCAATTTGACAATGTCCCTGCCATGAAGTCTTGCGAGGAAGGATGCAAAAAAGAGTACAAGGCAAAAGCGGCAGAGGTCGCCGCTAGCTGCAACACGGTCTGCAGCAAGGTGGAGAAGGACCCACATCGTATCGAAACATGCAAGATGGCATGCACCCCGCCTAGCTCCTAATCAAAGCACTTCTATGTACGTACATACCGGTGACCTAGCATTCTTGGTGAAGCATCAAATCATTGTTGTATCATAAGTGGAAGTGACTTGAAGCCATGATAAACTCACATGTGTTGAAATGGTTCAAATTGTAGCTCAAGGTTGTGTTGAAAAGAAGAATGAGACAAAGATTGTTGCAAATTGTAATCCCTTACGAAGATATATATGTATTGATAAGAATTAGCATCAAGATATTGTAAACTCAAGTGAGTGAAATAGACATATCTTTTGATCTTGAGTATAGGTATGTCATACTATCAAGTGATGAATAGTTTGACAAGTCTCAAGTGCTCAAACTACCCGAATACCAAGGGTTAACATGAGAGAAAACTTGGCACAACACTTGTACTTGTTGGTCTTGGAGCTTTTTCTGTTGGGTTGGTTATCCCTATGAATAATCTTTTTGTACAGGCCAAGATCATTGAAATTAGAGTTCTAAGTAAGAAGTTATTTCATTTTTCGTGTGGTGACCTATGCTGCTTTGCCAACCTGCGTGAAAATTGTGCACATTCTAGGTCCAATGGCTAGTTTTGGAAAACTTTTATGGAAGATCCACACTTTTTCTGCTATAACGACTAATTTGTGATGTAGGGGGTATTTATACCCCTCCGCTTTATTTGGAGGGTTGTTGGTTTCTCCCACACAACCATATTGAAGCCACAACCTGCTAGAGCTCTCCTCAACCCCCTTATTGTGAGATTTGTGTGATTTTATGAGAAATCTAGTGAGTTGGGTTGAGATATTTGGTGATTGAGAGCAAGAGCGAGCAACCAAATCCATGAGAACTTGTGGGGTTCGTCAAGTAATATATTAATCGTTTGTTACTCTTAAATGTCAAGCCTCATAGATGGCTAGGCATTATTCGGCAAGTTCCTGTGCTTGTGGTGAGCCACAGGAAAGATTGTGAAGACTTCAACTTCGCCTCCGCAAGGGAAGAAGTCCAATAGTGAAGTGAGGAAAAAGGTTGAAAGAAATTTCTCTAGAGCTTGACCTTGGGTGGTTGTTCATGACCTACTCAAAAGAGACGTTGGTCCTTCCTTGGAAGAAGCTGAGCTTCGGAAAATAGCTCCTTGTGTCTTCAGTTTTGTTTGTTTATTTTTTGACTTCTTTTCTTGACATTGCTTCCACTCGATCCAGTTGGTTATGTGTTTGTGAGTGCATGTACTTTGTGGACTTGCTAGTGGCTACTCCATATGCATATCTTCAAGTTTGGATTGAGCTAGAAATCTCTAGGCGTAGTTATTCTCTATTTGTGTGGAAGATCTGTAGAATTCTGCGGAAGGTTTGCGCCTAGCTAACCCGCCGCAAAGTTTTGTTGCTAAATTTAAGAAACCCTATTCACCCCCTCTAGATGACACCCCGATCCTTTCATTTGCGATATTTTTCATCTTGTTTAGAATATAGTATTATTCAACTAAATTCCTATGGTGTGAGCCAAACAATATATAGTTGTAGCAGCGCTCGGCTCGAAATGCACTGACTTGGAGGAAGAGATCGGCTTGAGTTTATCCATAAGAGCTTGAGGAAGAAGAAGAAGACGACTTTGGGAAAGGCCTCCATTCCCCAACTCAGGTGAGGTCATGGTCGAAGGAGGGTTGAGGCCATCAGCGCCATCCTCCTTTGAAGCTTCAGAAAACTCCAATGAGGGTGAGGTGGGAAGATCTTGTGCCATGGATGAAGGAGAGAGCAAGAGTGGGGTGAGTGATAGAATGTGGGGGGGAGAGTTTTGTTGTGTGTGTGAGCTGAGAGGTGTGTGGCAGGGCTAGTGAGGTCAAGGAAACTTTGTATGACATGTAGGGTGAGCATGAGTGTTTGTCAGTGCGAGTTGTTGGCTCGCAGACCATTTGACAGGATCACGAGAGTTTTGTTCCGTCTAGATTTTTGGATGATCAAGGGTTAGGTACAAAGCAGACTTTGATTTAACTAAAATTTAATAAAGGATTTTGACAAACTTTTTTTTATTCATGAAAGAACCCAATACCCCTCTCTCTTTTCTTTCCTAAACTAGGTTCGTGCACGTGCGTTGCTACAGGACAGCTAAACTTTTGTAATAAAAAACACGGATCGCACGATAAGATAACAACACTGTGAAATTAAATATCAATGTTAAAGTGACATTTAATCCAAAAGGCAAAGTTCATGAAATTAACCGTCACGGAGAGCACGGCGTCAAAGGCTCACAAACTCTACTGTATAGACCTTCTGCGGCTAAGATAATGTTTTATATCGGCAAGAAGAAATCTCCGATATCCATTTCTTTCGTGCGCAAATAATTCACGAATATACCATCCATGTAAATATTAGTGCCTGTCATATGGGTAATACTGCATGTGTTAAAAAGTCTCTCACAAAACCTTAAACAAAGTATGTTATACTCACTATATAAATATGTGTGGTTTTAGGTCTATTCCACGTAGACATATATTGTAGAATAAGGTATCCACTTGAGTATCTGTGGTAAGATTCACCGCCAGCAATATATAGAAATAGTTAAATCATAAGTATTATTATTGCAAGCGACGGGAAACAATATCATTCTTATTTTTTGTCTTTGAAAAAATACTTTTTTGCTGTCTCCATGATCAACGATTCTTATTTCCTTTGTACTTCAATTTATTCTATTCTATCCATAAATCCTCTGTCAACAAGAGGTTTGATCATGAAAATCAAATTTCAGTACAAGAACGCTCAACTCGTTAAGAATTCTCTATTGTGAAATAAGGCCAACAACGCTCCAATCTTAAGTTGCACAAAATCTCATAAAATAAGCATTTTAACTCAAAGCTTTATAGAGTCCATATGTATTTATCCCATGCAAAGCTTCAGAGTCTATAGGTACTTTGTTGATCAGTTCATTACTATAGGTGTCAGAAGGCAGCAAGCAATACAAGACTATCACAGTTTCAAGTCACATGCACTGCATGATAAAATAAGTTATCGAAAAAACAGATTCTGATTGTGCACCTGCTACGACTAATTTCACAAGATACTGGATGATAACAGGGAGGGAAGGCTGCCATCAATTTCATTTTTTTTTTTTTTTTTGCTTCCTTTGACTGCCTTCAGTGCGCTTGATCTTTGAGCGAAGTGAAAAGCTAAAATCCCTCTTTTGCCTAGCATTTTAGGGCCAAACTCAGACTTATTGCGCATGTAATCACTGGGGGTTCTCATGCTGCAATAATAAACATGGTTTATGGTGATCACACATTTGGAAGAAGCTCGCACATTCAAAGGGGGAGAGTAAAGGAAATAAGATTATTCAGTATCAGCTTGGAACCTATTTAAGTTGAAGGCAATCATCCCAGATACTCATGGTGCAAATTATCCTGAAATGACACAGACAAAAAAATAAGTTACCATATCATTCATGCTGCACCAGGCTAAGTGCAGTAGTAACTACACAACCAGCTAAAAGCATATCTCATATGGTTAGATGAAACTGCCAATCATATTTCAAATGTTTAGGTGCAAATTACTCTGTAAATTTGTATGGACTCCACAAAATTGTTGTTTTGCAAAGTATTAAGAACTCTGATTAATCCTCAAAAAAGCTTTGAGAGATGCATAAGGAAGCAGGTGGCAGACCTGAAGGATGTGCAGATTGAGGCACTTAATGGCGAGGATGACGTCGCCATCGCCGTCATATGTGATAAATTCAACTAGGCTCATAAGTTATCTTCATTTTATAACCCAAAAATATCAGATTACACCTACAGTCGGCAAACACGCATGCTGTTGGTGACAAATGTATAGGAACAGAGGTTGATCAAGACTCAGCAGCTCCAAAATATTCCAACAGTATGCTCGAGCCACTTGAAATGAGATTAACTCACACTGACTGTACAGAACAAAACTCAGTTGTTTTTACTGAACTACAGCCTAAATAGCAAATGCATTAAGAAATATTAATTTATTAAATATATAGGTCATCCAATCCTGGGAGCAAGTCCTTTCTATTTTCTTGTATAAAAGTGCAGTAACTAAACCATAAGCCACCAGATCAACTAAGGGAAAACGTATCCCTGTATAGATGAAGAGAGACCAATCGTTAAGTACTTATTAATGAAAAGGCAAAGCACTGTGCATTTGTGATTACCTATTTTACCAATTCAATAGACTACTACAGTTTAGTAAAATCGATCATATAGTTGATATGGAAAAGGATTACTATAATCAACCACTACTCAGAACTACTTAGTTCACAAAAAAGGAACTAAAATGCAGGAATACCAGTTGGTTGCACAAATGAGATGCTAAAATGAGGGATTCGATTTCATTCAGCAAGATGGAGTAAAAGCATGGAGAAATCAAGGGAAATCAAAGCGGAAGAGAGAAATCAAGGGAAATCGAAGCGGAAGACAACTTATAGTTTTCTTCATGTTGGCATAAAAATTTGAAACATATGGCCATAGTCCTCACCAGAGCAGAACCATACTGGAAAACAACCACATAGTTCATTATTAACCTATATATATGGAGAGAGTGCAATTTCTCCATCATCCTCACTTGATCCCCCAAGCCAACAACTAGGTCTTCCGTGACCTGCAAGACAACCAGATGACATATATTTCAACCTAAAAAGGCTAGAACTGAACTCAGAAATATATATAGTTACAAAAGCACATCAGAAGTCAACATTCACTGTGACTAATTGACTATTCTCAGTAAATACTTAAGACATTTCTTTCATATAAGAGGTTTATGTATAATTTTGTGTTGTATACAATGGCAAATTCTTCCCAGACTATTAGACTAATATGATGGCATGACTAATCACACAACACATTTCCGATATACTACCACCAAGCAGCTCATAAAGTGCTTGGCTCCCAGTTGTAATCCGAACAACAGACTTCCGCTTCAAATAAGGCAAAATAAATCAAACAACCTTAAAGGACAACACATATGAGAAGTAATTAATAGTGCTCAACCAGATCAATAACTAATCAACCTTGTCAGTT